CTTGTACACACCTTAAAGTCTGCGAGTTCAATGTGAACATTGGGACTGAGTCAAAGAGAAAGGCAACCATGCACACTTACACCTACAGCCTATTTAGAAACGCTTATTAACCCACAACACAAGTCTTTGGACTGCAAAGAAGCTTGAAAAAAAACACAAAAACCAAAAAAGAAAAACAAGTAGACGCAGGGAGACCAAACATCCACTAGCAGGGGTGTGATTTCTGCAGAAACATATACGGATATAACATCTACAAACATAGAGAGATTGCTTTCAAGGAGGATGACATCTTTGAAAAGACCTTTCACATGTGCACATTGAAACAAGCATATACGCAAAGTCAGAGAAAACATACAAACAGACAAAAGGGCTGGGACGTGTACACAAACTAAATGTGAGCAAGAAACGAACACCAACAACAAATGTGTGTTGTAGTCTCAACCTCTCTGCCACACTTTTCGAAACTGAACAGCATTTCTGCAGCTTCAACTCCTGGAAACTGAATTTATTGCAAAGCGTTTGACTTCACTCCTCTTCTGTGCAATCACACAGATGCACCTTTCTGCTCAGCATTCACTTAAAATCTGTGCGTTAACAAGAACTTCATGTTACATTTTAGCTTTTTCAGAGGTATTGTTGGGCACAGCTGCCCTCTTGTTCGTGCCCCATCCAGGGTCACCGCTGCTGCCCTTTAGTAAAATCTGTCAGGCTCTCTTTGACGCAGATCCGTTTCCTGTCAAAGTGAGATTTTTATTGTTCCAAGGGAGCAGGCTCCAGAATCTCACTCCCCCAGTCTTTTCCTGTTTCCTCTTGAAGAGGAAGTGCTGCTTTGCTTCAGTTTTCCCCCTCCCTCCTGCATCTTCTCTGGGACAAATCTGGAACGCTAGCTGCAGCAGTTTGCTTGTGTCGGCCAAGACTTGATTTCAAAGAATGAAAAGGGTTCCTTCAAAAAGAGAGATACCCTCCCACTTTGGTCTCTGTTACACAAGCTTCCACGTACAAATTCGCACACACATACACACAAAGCGCATTCACAAACAAGCCCACAATGATTTTGCATCCTATATTCTAATGCGCCCCCTCTGAGTGAACGGCCTTGAAGGTGTGTGTTCACCTGCGACCCCGAAGTGAGGCTTTCCCATGGTGCCTCAGCACGTAGGCTCTTTGTTATCTCAGAGAAAATACTTCTTTGTATGCAGGGAGGGTCATTTCGTACATTTAGACAGCATAAGCCCTTAAACAAACACCAACACTCCGCTACAGCATCCTTACATAACAAAGAGAAATGAGCTGAAGCATAGAAAAATATGACTGAATATCTACTCATTTCTTATCATAAATTTATGTAGAGAAGCATCCAAGTTCTGGTTCATGCCACTTAAAGCCCACTCACTCAACCGTGAGCACACAAAAGTCGTCTGAGTGTGTACGCGCGCACGTTTAACTGTGTGAGCAGTCCTGCGCAAACTTAGAATGACAAATGAGGCCTTGCTGTCACACTAATCTCAGTCAAGCTCAGTTTCAGGGCAGAGGAGGAGCAGGCTGTCTGTCTTCACATACATGATGTCAGCTCCGACCACTGAAAGCTTTTCAGGCTCGCTTCAGATCTCCCAGCTGAACCTCGGCCATGACCCCATCCAACGCAACTCTGAATCATTTACAAGACTGGTTAGCATGAAAAACCTGCCTCATGACATGTCATTTGGATAATTTAGATGAATTAGAGCAACTCAGTTACCAAGTCCTTCAGACAGTCATTGTAAGGCTTCAATACCTTCACTGGGGACGAGCCCAAAAAGTTCTGTACACCATGAAAGACTCTAAAGTAAGGTTCTGTCATCACTGAATTACAATAATGGTACAATTCTGCAAAGTGTAAATGTGGCCAAGGAATTTCGGTAAAGGAAACCATTCAAAATCTAAAATTAAAAGTGAATTTTTCATCTGCCATATGCTGGTATACACACATCAACACAATTGAAGGTGGGACAATAAGTTGATGTCAAATCTGTGATGTCTGCTTTTTGAAAGAATGCAATTAGCAGATCACAATGGCTGCCATCCAGCAATATGTCATGCAACACGTCTGACCCACAGTTTATACAGTTGTGTCATGACTTTACAAATTGAGTGTCCTCCTCGTGCTCCATCACATGTTTTATAGATATTCTAATACTAATACTGTAACTATTTACCTGTACCTTAATTTTTATAAAAAGATATCCAAAATAAAATCAAAACATGTCAGAAAAATTGCAATTAGATCATTCAGCTCTTCTACAATCATCTTTTAAAGCTTAAAATTGGCTTTTACAATGTACTAAACTGTCTAATAGCAATTACCATTGTGGTAGTGACATAAACGGGGAATATGGAAGGTCAGTCTGGTTTTCATAATAATACGACTGTGACTGAGCTTCACTGGGCTACAATAGATGCACACAAGCAGAAGGAGGGAACCGAAACTTATTCCTTATCGTGCGAGAGTTTGGCTTCATCAGGCTGCAATTTGACAGATTTGATCTCACAGTGGCCCAACAGCTGTAAACAGCAGCCTGTATGAGTTCCAACTGTGCCGAAGTATTGAAACAGCAGCACCGAGCTAGGTGTAAAGCAAGCCAGTTTACTTCTACAGCACCTTCTACGCAGAGGTTATTCAAAGGGATTTACAGCCAAGTTAAAAATGGAAACATGTAAAAGATAAAACACAAAAAAGCAGAATAAAGTTAAAATAGTTTAAATAAACTGCATTTTTTTTTGAGTAATTAAAACTGGTTGACTAAAATAATGGAAAAATACAAGAATAAGGAAAAATGAAACCATGTTATGGACAATGTGTACAATAAAACAGAAAACAACTAATGAAAAAACAAGTGTTTGCAGTACAGACTAGACTTTCAAAGAGTTCGTAGCTTACTTTTATAAATGTCTACATTTGAGGCAGATCGACGCTCTAAAGCTCTAAAGCTCTGGTTGGCAGCATCATGACTAAACATCATTTCATCCTGTCTGGTCTGAACTCTGGGCACCACTGACTGATAAACATGTCTATCTTTAGCAAACATATCTCTGATATAATTTGGGCTCAGACCGTTCAGAGACTTATAGACAATAACTAGGGCCTTAAATGTAATTCTATATTCACCAGGGAGTCAGTGCAGGGATCTAAGAATCACACTAATGTGTTCTCTCTTCTTCTTCTTGCATGGCTGCAAGTTAAAAACTCTAACTTACTGATTTAGACAGTTGCAAACATTATGTTAACTGGTTAAGTTGACATAATAATGTTGGTAGTTTTTTTGTTTTTTTTGTGGAAGTACATTGAGAATCAAATCCCTTGCATGTGCACCCACTTGGCCAATACAGCTGATTCTGTTGCATCAACTTAATATTGTGTGTAATTTAAACTCAAAGTTCTGAGATTGTTGATTTAAAACTAAATTCAAGTGGTTTGATAGCTGAATTTTTATTTACCAGAAGTTCCAGATTTCAAATGGACAGTGTGTTAAAGGATCTGAACGAATATGACACAAATGACATTTCCAGATAAGTATCATGCATTTTAGAAACAAATTCTACAAAAAAAAAGAATTTGGAATATTTTCAATACGTGATATGACAGTGGATTTATCTATTGAGTTGAGGCGACACTTGTTATTGAAGGTGATATGCTATAGACAGTTCATGGACTATTAAGATGATATATCAAATGCTTTCCAGGTTTTTTTTATTTTTTTTATCATCTACCCACTTTGAGTACGTTGCTTCACAGATTGAAATGTGAGGTAATGTTTAAATGACGATATCTCAGGAACTGCTGAAGATAAAATCCTGAACCATTTTTAAACTCCAGAAGTCTGTACTGCTAAAAAGACACTATTTTCATTTTTGTGATAAAGCATTTTATATTACTAAAACTACAAATGAAATGGTTCTGAAAATACCACTGGCTGACTTCTGCATTATCAGTTATTTTGTTCATGTGTGCTGAAAGGAAAGATCAGACTTTAATTTTTTCCCCCCATATTTCAAATGACCTATAATCAGACACTTTGTGATCTACTCATCCAATATTGCAGCTTCTGAATCAATGATGTGATGGGAAATAACAATGAACATTCCCGGCTTTTATCTTCAATAGTTCCTGAGATATTGTCATCCGAAAAAAGCCTCAAATTTCAATTTGAAGGAAAACATGCTGAAAGTGGGGCGTGTACAAAATAAAGCATGTGTGCATTTAAACAAGGGCAACTGGTCACGTAAGGAAAATCCGTGTTTACCTTCTGTGTACAACTATAAATATGTGCAACATAAAGTGAACCAAGGTTTAGTGCAAAAATACAGGAATCAACAAAAAAGTAATCAACATATTGATGTCTCACATACAGGGAGGGAGGGAGGTGGATGATCACATTGCTGGGATGAATACAAGCAGGTATGTGATATGTTGTATATACAGTATATGTAAGAATACTTTATATATCAATCTAAAGTTCACAGATACCACTTTGTATTTCCATAGTTTATGATTTAAAGAAAGAGTTTCAAGTAAATCAGAGATGAAGGCCCCTGAAGATTTGGCTGCTGGAGTTCAGATCCCACCAGTGATCACACTGAGGTTCCTGGTCTGGCTGCTGGTCTTTACCAGCCTGGTCTCAAGCTGAGCCCTGAAAGTGTACCTGAAGGTCCCTAAACGCACCTTCTGCCAGTTAGTCTGCGGCCCTGAAGGCAGCAGGAGGCCACAGCTGAGGAGCCTGAAGCCACTTGCCCCCTTTCAAGATGTCCGCACCACAATGGGGCCAGAAAAATGCTTCAAAATCAGATTCGCGAAGCGGTTTGAGCAGGATGGAGGGTGTTTGTGCAGGAGAGCGGTTTTATCAGCGGCAAACACTCACAGGAAGTCCGGTTTGGGATTGTCCGTCCAATTCCTGCGTTCCACAGGAAGCCCTGCATAAAAAGCAACTGAAAAACGCCCAAAGACATTTCATTTGCCGCCAGTCGACTCGCGGGGAGCAGCTCCAGCCACACCGGCGAGGCCTTCAGAGCAGAACAGCACCGAGTCGAGCTTTAAAAGACACCGGAGGAGACATGGACACGTCTGACCCACCGGACCGGCGGCTCGCGCTCATGGCCGCCGCACTGCCTGCGCGCGCACACGCACCTGATGACCCCCCACTGAGAAGGTAAGAGCCGCACGAGCTAGGTAGCAGGTAAAAGAGATTATATCTAGTTTATTTAGTTAATTTTTACTGCTGCAAGATTTAAAAAAAAAAAATCTAATTTAATGATTTAAGTTGCATCAACCTAATATAATCTGCAATTCTAACTCAAATTTCTGCCTAATTTAGGTTAAAACTAAATTCAAGTTGAGCTAACTTAATAAAAATTAGCTTGATAAGTTAATTTTTCTTCAACTTTAGTTCAGGATTTCAGATCCCCTCCCTGCCCACTGAACATTGCAGCAACCTTTTTCTTTTCGTTCCTTTTTTTTTAAAACCGCCAACTTAAAAACTTATTTTTAGCTTTAAGTACATAACACCTAAAAATTCCATTTAAAATTCCATAGAAAGACTAGTTGGAACAATCAACTTAAAGAATTTTGTTAATGGCACCAATCACTCAATAGTGGTAATTAACAACGCCTTCGATTGAAGAAAAGCTAATTCCCCCAACTCAATGTAGTTTGTTGGTTGAACATAACTTCATTAGAAGTTGTCATAACTCAAAAGTGAGTCAACATTTTTGATAACTGGTAGTTTTAGCTGAGTGTAGCATTACTTTTTAGAGTTCAGACCTACAGCTAAACAAACCTAATGTAGTTATCATATGCAGGCATAAGTGTAGATTTCCTGTAAACAGTAGGGGTGGCACACATCCTGCACGGGTTCTAGGCATGCTCCCCCAGGAAATTTTGCGCATCATTTTTGGTGAAGTTTTATGCAAATCTCCTGTGTCCACCTCTGAAAATCTATGCATATGTGCAGGGTGCATCTACAGGGTACACTGCTCCCATTACCTGTGCAGGTCATGCAGAGAATGCTGCATTAAATCCTGTATGGATAACACAGAGTTGGTTTTATAGTCATACACTACAGAATTACTGTATGTCTGACGATGAAAGGATCAACATTTACATAATATTGCACAAAAAAGTTTTTCTTGAAAGTATTGCCGCAATCTGTACAAATACTGATTAACACACATTTAAAACTTTGCAAATCAACACAAAAACACCAGATTGGAAGGTTTATAGTACTGAACCAATTTCTTTTAAGCCGAGGGAAATGTACAACCACAGAGATTTTACATTTCAAAATCTTAGTTTCTATGTATTTACTTGACTTACTTGCAAAAGAGATTAATTGAGACCATGACAAGTTATCCCAAGCAGTATTATTTAGTTTTTAGGTGCACAGTTTATCAGATCTGTCTTAGATCAATACTCAGACTGCACATGTGCACACTGAAACTGGTTTTGTTTGCTGTAATCATTCGTTTTGTGCATTAAGAGATGTGTTTTTTATGCGCTTGGGTGACACAAAACAAACAAACAAAAAACTTCCACAGAGCTCATAGTCAGATTTACCTCTTTTTACTCCAAAACTCCATCTTTAGGTTATAATTGCTCCACTGCAGCAGAAGTGATTAATTCACTCAATGCTCATGTGGGTGAAACAGAACATTTCTTGAAGACAGACTTAAAAAAAAAAAAAAAAAAAAGAAGCCGAGTCCTCCTTGATCAGCTGCCTCTGTGGGATGTTTTTACACACCGCAGCCTGTAACGTGCACCACCGGGTTATGAATGAGGGAAGCTGTGGAGCCCGGCCTGTGACGTCACACGCGGGTCCCCCCAGTGGGAGCCGCGGGACACCCAGCTGGAGGAGTGGGAGGAGGTCCTACCATCACCCCCCATGCGCTCTGACAGTCTGAGCTCCAGGACAAACCTGACTAGTAGCGGAGTTTTATCCCTGGACCTTCACCTCAGCAGCGGAATATAAACGGGGACGTACTTTGCTCGCGGCTCTCCTCCTGCAGTGTAGGACCGGAGTAATCTTAGGAAAGCTGGTTATTCATTGCACGGTTTGTGATTATTTTTCGTATCCATGCATGCGCCCTGGAGTTTTGGTTCGGTAGTTATCGGCTTGTGCGCGCGTGTCCAGCATCCCTGCCTGTTCTTTTTTACTGTAGGAATGTTTTCTTTTATTTCTTCTGCTACTGTGGAGTCTTCAGTTTAATGTGAGAATGTTTCGGAGACGGAAAGATGTGAGGGATGATGGTTTTAACCAGCGCTGAGCTCCGCGCATTATGCGCATAATGTGCTGTAAAACAGCGCCCCCTCATGACCAGAGTATCCGATGAGGTGACAAGCAGGCCAGAAAATTCCCCTCCTTGAACCCTGTGATCTGATCATCTTGAATTTAAACGTCCTTTTGTTTGAAATTGCATTTCGTTTAAACCAAAATGAGCTCCGCAGGGAATACTGTGAGGAACCCTCCCATAATTAATCCATGCATCATAGGTTAACTGGGTTGTTAACAATGTTGTGCTTTATAAACCCCAAAGGTAAAAAAAAGAGAAGAGTTTTTAATGTTTTTAATAGTCTTCCATAACATCACCATCATTAAAAAAATATATATCCATTCAGTGAATCCGTGCCATGTCACTCCCAACTGATAATAACTTCTTGGACAAGCCTTCTCTCCCTGCAGCAACTTTATGTGATGATGCTTGATTGTTGCACACACACACACACACACACACACACACAGACACACACACAGTCTTCAAAGTGGCCCCCTGCTGCGCCGGTCCAGCTCGCCACAGTGATTTGTGAATGAACGCAGGCTCTAGATGTGCGTGTCGTGTCTCCGGGCGCACAGCCAGCAGGGGATCAGAGAGACATGCAAAGCTGTCATCCGAGGCTTAGCATCACCTCCAGCACGACTGAGGACTCTCCAGCAGGCTACAGTCCCGTAACCTGCCATCACACCCGGCTGGCTTTAATGCGCTGTTAGAGATTTCCCCAGGGTTTAGTATCTGCTCTGTTAAAACACGCCCGTAGGCGAGCATCTGAGGCAGGAGCGGGTCCAAGCTGACTGTCATGCACTCTGACTGTCTCGAACTTTGCTTTAATCCTGTACAGTATGCAATAATCTAATATGGTGTGAAGGGATGTGTGCACATTGCTGTGAAATGAGAGCTCTTTGTCCATGCAGGTGCAGGCCAGTGAGTGTTCGGCCTGGTTTCACTGCGAGAACTCAGAGCTGTAGATGCAGCATGTAGGTGGATGTGATGCATCACAGTCCACATGTGCCTATGGATGCATCCAGACACCAACTTCTAGCAACAAGTGATCCAGTCCAAGGCCTATGCTTACACTCAAGGCACACAAATCAAAATTTCGTGTAAACAAACTAACCCTGGGGTTTAAAGCACAAATAATACACGTCAGATTTTTACTGCTGCTCATAAAAGACATCACCATCGCGCTGCACTGTTTTCACAACTTTTTAAAGTGGCTCACCAGGGAAATCCGCTCAATACATGAGAACAATAAAGTGTAGGAATGTTAAAAGTATTGATTATGGTAACCTTTAAAAATAACAATCCAACAATAAACCTACGTAAAACCAAACCATCATGTAATCTAGTTGTTTACTGACATTTTAATTAAAGACAAGAAAAGGGCATCTCCACTTTGCAAGTTCCAGTAAGTTTGACTTCCAGCTCTTGAATCTTTGGGTCTGCTGTTTCTCACCCTTTATCCTCTGCGTCCCTTCATCAGCTGCTAATTGTCCTAAATGACAGAGCTCCTATAGACACGCAGCGGTTAACAGTTCCTTGCCAGATTAAATGAGCTCTGAAGCTTTGGAAAAAGCGCCGCATGCTCTGCTCTCAGAGACGGGACACAGCTGACACTGACAGTCCATCCCCCTTGTGGTCTGTTTCTTCAAAGCTTTGACCCGAGGCTGCGGAGGAATGATGTGTATTCCATTCAAGTTTAAACTTGTGGAATTTATCCTCTTGTTCACCTCAATTTGTAGCTCGTGATGAACAAAAAAACCCACACACACGGCTGAATTTTTTTGCTTTAATACATCTCATATCTGCTCTCCTCACAGGTAGCTGGAGTCGTCCTCCGGAGGGAAAACGTACGTATCAGCGTGAGGAGACTTTGGCTACGATCCACAGCCCCCTCCTCCCCTCCTCTCCCCTCCGACTGGCACAGAGACGAGTGTGAGAGACCCAGCGAGGGAACGTGGGAAAGAGGAAGACGATGTACCAGACGCTGCTTCTTTCCTCCTCCCTCTTCATCCTTCATGTGATGGGCACTCCCCAGTTCTTCGCTCACCACGGGTAACGGCTCACTCAGTGCCCTTCCTGTGTTTATTATGGCCTGTCATTTCGGTCGACAGCTTTGCGGTGACCCCAGCTTACACATCTGTCACTCAGACCCGTTTGTTTTAGCGACGTCTTCACCCGACTTGACATTTTCAGCCACTGTGAATATGTACAAATTGGAAAAGTGTCCTCTCTCAGGCCCTGTACGCACACCAGCACGGGCAGCCTCGTCTTGTCACTCTCAGTTGGTTTGGAAAATAAACTGAACAGCCAAATGAAAAGGTCAAGTGGAGACAAAGAGGCCAAAGATCAAGTCTTTACTCTGACACATTGAGGAGTGATTACACGGTCAGTCAGGCTCTAATCTGGAGCCACTTAGGGCTCGAAATATCTCCAACTGTGACTCACAACCTGTGAAAAAAAAAAAAAAAAACTTCTCCTGCAAAACCAGTTCAGCTTCTGGTGCACATGAAGATAAAGCGTTTGATCTCTTTTTGCAGGAGGAGGGTGTGTGGCCGAGACCTCCGTCACAGCGTTGTCCTGGCAACGGAGTCATACGTCCAGCCGGTGCACAAGCCCTTCATCACCCTGTGTCAGGGCCATCGCTTCTGCAGCACATACAAGTAAGACGCGCTCTCCCAGTCCTTCCGATTGCTAAACACACACACACAAATAACAACACAAATCATACGTTCTCGACTTTTGTTGGGCGAGAACCAGCTGAACCGGCAGCCAAGCATTTGCACAACAGAGCTCAGGCCTCACAGTGTCAAACAGCGCTCTAATTAAGCCATCTCGTGCTGTTTATTTGATTAACATGTAAACAATGCTTGACGTGTTCAGGAAGGGAAAGGATGAGGAGCGAAGTCATGAATAGATCTAGACTTTCTTCCACACACGCACACATAAGTACACATATTGCACAGAACTGGGTCATGGTGGCACATATTTGGGTGGAATCTAAATATCGAATACTTTGTGTAACTACGGGAAATGAAGTGCTAGCCCACAGAGACCACGGTCGTGTTTATTTTGGACTCTGTCTCCCTCCATACTTATACGCTCTCAATCTCTCTCCAGCTCTGATACTTTCTAGTCCTCCACCCCACCTCCTTTTACATTCCCCCCCATTTTAATCTATTTTAAATCCTCTCTCCTAAAGTAAAATTTAGTTTCATTTTTGGATATTTTCATCCTCGTTATGTGGGCAGACCTTAGATAATTACAGGCCTGGGAAATTATTTGTTCATTTTGTTTTAAGAAAACACATCACGGGTCAGTGGCACTTTGTTTTTAGCTTTTGCCTGAGTTTATCGCTCCGTATCTACAAACTAAACATACCACACACTCAGCAGGCTGCAGCGAAATCTCAGATTTTAGATGTGATCCCCTGCCCCATATGCCCTCCCTCCATCCCTCTCTCATCTCCGACACACTCTTGGAAGCGAGCGCTCCAGTATTCCACCGAATTCCTGTTCTTTCATCGGTCTGACAGAACATGGAAAAAGGCTCGACAGGCTCAACCAAACACGTGAGGGCAGCGTGAATGACCAGGGGTCCTTAACGGTGTTTCTCTCCACAGGACCACATACATGGTGGCGTACCGGCAGGTGAGCAGAGCAGCGTCGCCTTCACAGTTCTATGCAGAGTGCTGCCCGGGCTGGCGGAGATTTCACTCTCACAACTGCAACCAAGGTAACTTTTAAGAGACTTGTGATGGGTGTAAGGGTTCCCTGCACCCGCTCAGTGGAAGAGCTTTAATGTAAAAGTAAAAGGTGAACATTTTGGAAAGCATACTTATATGTTTTCTTGCTGAGAGTTAGGTGAGAAGACCACTCCTGTGTGTGTACGTGTGTGATTAGCCTCCAGAGACAGCAATCGTAGCTTAGCATAAAGACCAGGCTACCATGGAATTCAGTCAAGAAATATTATATAGCACATAAATCCCTTTTTATTTTTACATTCGTACTGTTGCTACAAATGTAGCCTGACTCACTGGATGTGGACTTCAGGTATAAGCCTGCCACTTCCAATCCACATTTACGCCTCTCCTTCTACTATCTGCGTTCGACTTGTTTCAAAATCCCCTTTGTTGCAAGAAACAACCTCTGAGCATGAACCTCATATTTGGATCATGCCACAAGGCAGGCCCACTTCAGTGAATTAGCCATTTCAAGCTTGACATAGCTTGTTTCCCCGCATTCAAATGTTCTACCAAGACGTTTCCCCATCATCACTATTTTTCAGGGGCACCACTGCTACATCCTGGGCTTAGCACTGCTGAAAATGACTGCAATTGTTTTAAAGAAATACCAATAAGCCAGTGCATTTTTCCTACCGATAGCAGAATGATGTTGAGGTGCAGCCAGACCATTCTCCAGTGCTGACATAGTGCTGTGGAGAATGGTCTGGGAGATTTAAAAAAAAGAAAAAAGGGGATATAGCATGCTAAAATAAATGTGTTTTCCAAAATGAGCTACTTTAACATTTGAAAGCTTCTCTGTTTAAGAGTTCCATCTCTTGGCCAGAAGGTGAAAAACCTTGTCTCCCCAAATCACAACTCAGAGGACTTAAGTAGATCATTAGAGAGCTCCAGGGCTTCGCTAGGCAGATGTTAGATAGCCATGCTAGCGACATCACCTTGTTTCCAACTTTTATGCTAAGCTAATCTAGCCATCTCCTGACAGTAGCTTCATATGATCTATCTATCAAACTAACCCTTTAAATATCTCTCATAGCTGTGTGTGGACAACCCTGTCTGAACGGAGGAACCTGCTTAAGACCCAACCAGTGTGCTTGTCGTCTCGGCTGGACGGGACGCCAGTGCCAAACAGGTACACACACAAACGTTTACCTGCACAGCCGAACACAAACCTCTTTGTGCGCATTTACACATTCTTGTCTTTCTTGTCTGTCAGATGTCGATGAGTGCGGCGAGCAGCATCCATGCAGCCAGCAGTGCGTGAACACAGCTGGCAGCTATCGATGTGCATGCAGAGACGGCTTCAGGCTCGCTGAAGACGGCCGCTCCTGTCAAAGCCTTCCTCCTCCTCCTTCTCTTCCTGCCACTCCTCCTGCTCCCTCGCAGACCAGCCAGGCAGCAGTGGGTGGTCACACTGATGCGGGTAGGATAGGAGAGTGTGCGTGGGTTCACACAGTGTAATTTTGTGTTCCACAGCAGCAAAGTGTCTGGACAGAAGAAAGAAACATGGCCAGCTTCGCGGTCCATTATTACTTTTGGTACGCGCTATGCCACTCTCAACTCGTACCGTGAGTAATAATGCACTGCGACTGGTGCCGACTCCAGACAGATTTCTTGTGGTCTGGTCCCATGTGGTGAGACTGGGACCAGTTGGACTTTGATAATGACTCAGTTGACTCCTATGAGTCCTGCAAGTAAAGCAAACATCTGCCTCTAATAGAGCTCCCGTGCTAATACAGACATATTTTTATACCACACACTCCATTGGGTTCCATCGAAATGTTGCAATGTTGTCTCTTACCAAGAAAAAGTCTATTTTCATTCATCTGTGCTTCCTGTATCTTAGCAACGAAATAATACAACCCCCCCTCCATGTCTACAAATGTGATAGCTGACCTCAAGATATTTCTTTTAATACCTATTCCGTGCCAGCAGTTTTGTTCTTTTGGGAATTTCAGCAACATGAAACCTTGAAGAAGGCTTACCGTTACTTTTTCCAGCCTTGAGAAATTTTTGTGAGTCACAAAACTGTAGAAATCCAAAACAGGACACTGTCTCCTTTACTGTCAGGAAGAGAAATATTTCTATGTAAATATGAAATCGCCAAATTTCTCAGGCTCTGTTCCAAAACCCCCTTTTCTATTTATCACAGTTTCTGTGAACAAGAAAGACCAAACTCACACAAACTAAAGCTTCTCGGCTGTAGGGAGACCGTTGACCTTCACAACGCTACGTGTTGTCTTGTTGAATTGCTGAGTCAGCAACAACAAAAAAAAAAAAAGACAGGAAAAACTCCCAAAGAAAAGCCAAAATGTGACATATCTTTGTACTTTATTGAAGCCGCAAAAGGTTATTTATAGGAATGTGCTCATTTTCACTGCTCAGCTCTCAGATGCAAAAATGATTATGTTTTTGCAAGACATTTTTGTTTGAGATTGTAGTCGCTTATCTGTACGTATGCACGCGTTTGAGGGATGTTGATGGAGATTATAATTATAAATGCAGGTTGAAGTGTTCAAAAAGTAGACCATCGCTCTCACTCTGCCAAAACTCTTGGACCACATTTCTGCATTTCAGTCTCTACACCCTCCCACCTCCCCGTTTTTTCACTCGTTCTTGGCCAACACTTGTGTTCTCATTCCAGCTCCATCAACCCTGTCTGCTGGGGGTCATCGCCATCTCCCCCTCGCTTTTCCTCCCGCTCCTCCTCCTCCTCCTCCTCCTCACCCTGTTTCTCAACTCACTCTTGTCTCAGTAATGGACCACATCTGGGAGAGATTGAACCTCTCTCGGTCTGTCTGCAGAAGCGCAACCAGAGAGCAAAGGGGGTTCCTAACTTTTTGCATCTCGAGCTGCCTGCGCTGGGGACATTCCCCCTGGGTGGAGGCGGCCAGACACATTTCCTCGTAGCCAATTCTCGTTCACAGGAGCGTTGAATGTTTTGCCTGTCTATTTCTGGAGACCTCTCTTTCAGCTTGTGTATCGGCTTTTTCAGCCGTTCCCATATCTACAGTCCCCCTCCCCTGTGCCCTACATTCCCCCGGTCTCCCTGCAGCTCTGCGGTCCTTCTCCTGGTTCGTAGTTTAGCTCCAGCGGTCATGAATCACTCGAGGAGAGGGATTGATGAAGGCAGGATGCTCCCAGGAATCTTCTGCAATATAAACTTTAGATCTGAGAGGATTAAACACGCAGCTTTCTCATGTTTGATCTACGAATTACTCCTTCTTTCCACCCTTCCTCTATTAGTCTACAGAAACTCACTGGTGTGCTGATATATACGTCCATGTTCGTGTGGTTTCTCCAGGTGGAAGGTTTGGCCTGGCGGAGAACGTGACAGAGGAGGTACAGAGCCTGAGGAACAGAGTGGAGCTCCTGGAAAAGGTAAAGTCGTGAACACATGTTTGAAACGCTCACACATAAAATAAAAGCCCCCTACCCTGATACCTCCCAGTCTCGCTCCGCAGGAACACCTCTGATCCTTACATACGGGCACAATATAAAACCCCACTTGCCGTTTAATCCCCGAACCCAAGATTCTTTGAAATGCCAGACCTACAAAGTGGCTTTTTAACATTTTTTATAGGTTTTTATTAAATTCCTGCTTGTGTTTAGTGCAACGAGCATAAAGAGCAAATAAAAGTATAATCATTTTTGTTTACGAGGTGATTAATGGTCCATTTCTGGAGCTTTATTCTTTCTTCCTAATTTCCCCTCGTGTTTCTCCATCTGTTTAGAAGTTGCAGTTGGTCTTGGAACCCTTCAGCAGCTTCTTCCCGCTGTCGCTGGACGAAGGCTTGTCAGAGAAAACCACCTTACTATCCCACTCCTTCCAGCAGCTCGACCGCATCGACTCCCTCAGCGAGCAGATTGGCTTTTTGGAGGAGCGCCTCGGCACATGTGAGCGACCACAGGCTGACCTTTGATGGTTGAAAACATTGCGCTTAGAGGAGGGGAAAAGCCAATATGTAGCTAAACACCATGGGAACTGTGTTTCCCAGGAAGGCAGGATTCTTCCAAAAGATCAGAGGCCATTTAAAAGCTCAAATAGCAATGATCCATAATTTAATACAATTGAAACGCATTAAAGCCCATATTAATAAAAATCCAATAACATAATAAAATCTTTTGCATGAAACCCAATAACCTCTTTGGCTGTGACATAAGACGCTGAGTTGTACAATCAAAGTACAAACGAACTGAATGAAATGACATATTTGCTTTTAAATGTTAACATAATTAAGACATCAAAGATAAGATAACAAAACTTAGGTCAAAGTACAGCTGAGGCTGATGGTAATGACATTAGTTTTGCAAGACTTTGGGCATCAACCAAAGCTTTGTACAAAGAAAGTTAGGTTCACCAAGTTTATTTTATTTCTTCTTGGGGGTGGCCGGTTGTTTTGAACTTCCCCGTTACTCCCCCCCCAACACTTAAGTGTCACCAAAAATGAAAAATATCAACCTTATTGTGGTGCTAAAGGAAAAGTCATTTGATCACCAAAGCTGCTAGGGTTCATCCTCTTGAGACCAGGAGTATTTGTGCAAAGTTGTGTGGCATTCTCTGTAATGGCTGCTGAGACATTTTAGATAACGTGTGAATCAAGAGTCACACATACCACTCCTTAGTTCAACGTAAGCACTCTCCGCTGTGCTCATTGAAAGCTCTTTATTGCTGCAGTGCAACTGTGCTTGCACAAGAGGCTTTTTACAGCGTGTTTTATCATAAATTGTGATCTCATTCAGGACTGCAGTCACTTGTGCTGCGGCTTCAGAGACTCTGCGGGATACTTAATGCTTAATTAGTGCAACAGATTAACCCTGTAAAGCCTGAAGTAATTGCCCGAGAATTCACATTTTTTGAAATGGGAGTATTTATTGAACCCTCTGACAAATTTTTAAAAATTAAAAAATAAATGTACATATATGAGTTTTAATTTTTGTAATTTTTGCTACGTTCTGCATTTCTGGTGCATGAATTACGATCTGTTGTGGATCATCCGTACACTGCATGTGTCTGATTGTATACATCAGGTTTTCCCTGAAGAAAATACCACACTGATGAGGTCTCAAGAACTCACCTATCAAACATGATACAGTTTGCGTTAAAGGGTTAATAGTATGAACCTGAGGAGTGTAAAAAAAAAAGACTTCTCTCAAACAAGGCTTGTTTTTTTTTACCGTTTCTACCCATTTCAGAGCATGTTCATCACCATTATTACACATTAAGGAAGTTTTGTAGGCACCGCTCCAAATTCATTGCATATAAATGATTCTATGTTTCACACCTCTTAAGTGTGTTTATTACAGTGCTGCTTATCAGGTCTCATTTTATCGGCCTTCTTGTAATTTGCAAGCATACAATCCTGTGCTGGAAACTCCTTGTTGGATTCCGTTTATTACATTACCAAAGTTTTATTATGCAATAAGCGTTATCAAATTTGGTTTTATTAGATTATTAGATACTTTACAAACCCAAACTCTATTAAAAAAACCTTCATATTTATTATTATTTTATTTAAAAATGCTCCCTTTAGTCTGGAATACAGTGGAGGTGATGCAACCTATTGCTACTCCTGGAGTCACAACACTGGGATATCACTGCTTTCCACTCATATCACAGTACAAGCTGCCTATAGGAGGGAATACATTGCAGTAACTCTTTCTATCTTCTCCTTTGTAGGTTCTTGTCAGGAGAATTAAGCGCTGAACACGGCAGTCATTATTTCAAGATGCCTCCCATCAAGCTAATAATGACACCGACCTGACAGACTTGTACGTGCCAGACGGCCGGCGGTGTTTGTCGGAGCGGCCGGCAGAAGGCAGCCTCAGTCCTCAACAATGCTGTGACGCAATCGCCGCACAAATCATGTGTGATTTTCACTACTCCCGACAGGTTCATTTGCTTTTCGCGTTGAATCGCTGTCAAATTCCTTGATTTTGTAACAGTACCTGCAGCGAGGCGAGTTTCACCATGACATCAGCCCCGCAACAATCTAAACCAAAACCTCCTTGAGGGTCAAAGGTCAAACTAGCCACTTAAAGTTTCTGTGTTTGTTTTACATCAGTGCAGCTGTGTCCTCTATCAGAGCCCCAACCCGTTCCAGGGCAGATGTGGACATCTGTATTTATCTATTTAAATTATGATCATCTTGTAGTTATTTCTCAGTGCTCCAATCAACATTTTTACCTAGTTTTGTAACTTTTGTAATAAAAAGTCTTCATCAGAAACACTGTGTGTGCTCCCTGTTATGACTGGATTACTGAATGATGTGTGAAAATACATTATTTCATCCACAATGTTGATATAAGAAAGCACAAACTCTTCATTGAGCTGGTACCACAAACCTGTTGACACCCAACAGCCACAACATGAAAACCGATAACGTGCAACGTTCTGCTGGGAAACCTTGGATTCTGACATTCATGTGGATGTTATTCTGACACATACCAGCCACTGCAGACCAACCACACCCCCTAGACTCCCCCAGCAGAACAGTATGTCCCATCACACAGCAAAAACTGCTCTGGAACACCTCGAGGAAAACGACCAAGAGCTCAAAATGTCAACTCGGCCTCCTAATCTAGTTTTAATGTTATGGCTGTTTAAGTGTAAAGTAAATACTGTAATCAGTGACAGAAGCATTAAGAGCTGTCAGATCAGTAGAAGTATTAGTACTGCACAGTAAAAATACACCAAGAGTCAAAAGTACACGCATTACGCAGAAGAGCCCCTCCCAGAGCGTTTTAATACATACATACAGGATTTTTATCCCCTATGTAGTAACATACAAAGAGCATCTTAATCTCAGCCGATTAACTGACCCTGTTTTATAGAATTATTAATCTTTTTCATTCTTCATTCTCATTCTTGGTGACACAGTTGGTAGCACTGTTGCCTCGCAGCAAAACAGTCGCCAGTTCGTGTCCTGATGAGGACACCTGGGATCTTTCTGCGTGGAGTTTGCATGTTCTCCCCGTGTAGTGTGGGTTCTCTCCTCAAACATGTTGAGGTTAATTGGTGATTCTAAATTGTCCGTAGGTGTGAATGTGAGTGTGCTTGGTTGTCTGTCTCTAAGTGTAGCCCTGTGATAGACTGGTGACCTGTCCAGGGTGTCCCCTGCCTTCACCCTAAGTCAGCTGGGATAGACTCCAGCCCCCCACGGCCCTAGTGAGGATTAAGCGGTGTATAGATGATGGATGGATGGATGGATTCTTTAAATAAATATAATTTCTTTATAATAAAGAAAAACATCATCTAAAAAATTCATAAACCTCTTTGCGGTCATGACAAAGCAATTACAGGCTGCTCTGCCTTGTGTTAAGACTTTCACGTAATCGACATAAGTTAGTTGATAAGATGAAGACCATTGGATTGTTTTCACAATGCAAAATGTTAATCTACAAACAAGCGATCACAGAAATGTAGTGGAGTAGAAATGTTTCTCTGAGGAATGTAGTGAATTATAACTATAGTGAAGTGGAAGAAAAGAGAACTACTTAGCTAAAGACTGTATTTCCAAATAGTACTTGAGTAAATCAACTTTCCACCACTGATTTTTAAAATAAAATCGCATAGGAAGGCAAAACAGGCATTTCAGTGCACAACCACTTAAGAAAAAAAAAAAAAGAATGGATTTTTATTTATTCTTTTGCAAGGCATTCACATTTACCCAGAATAGGTGAAATCAAGAACACTACATCATCAATATTAACCAGATACTATAATGGGCGTCTATACCATGTGTGCTTATTTACACACACATACAATAAAGGACCACACACACTCTCACACACCCACTCGCACACTCTCTCTCACACACTCACTCACTCACAAGGCTCTGCAGGATGTCAGCTCTGTTTCTCATATCCACCTAAATTACACTTTAATAGCTTTGGTGAAAATCAGAGAAAAATCCATTTTATTTTTTTCCCCACCCAATCTCAGCATGAAAAGTGCTTTTAATAAGGTTGAGAATACTTTGAATCTTTTCCAATATCTTACATATTAGATCGTAAACAACTGCCAAAAGAAAAAAACAAAAAAACAAAACAAAAAATCGAACGTCGGCAGGGTTGTTTTGCAGAGCCTGTCAGTCACCGGTTTAAGCTCGTGACACAAAGCTTACAAATCACACATTTGTATTACAAAATAACTGAGAAATGAACAGAGAATCAATGGGTGAAACACTCCATTAACAAAATGTATAGGGTACAGTTTATATTTTGGAAGATACCAATTTGGTAGAGTGCTTTTTAACATTCGAACCACTTGCTGCAAAGGTAAAATCCGCTGTTACAGACAAGAAAAAGTCAATAAATATATTTAAACTAGGGAAAAAAAAAAAAAAGAATTGGATGAGTTATTAGTTAGTAGGGGCATATATTCCACACTGGCCTTAACATAAGTGAAATCCTGACTTTCACAAGTACATACAGCAGTTATCACTAAAACTACTGTTTCACTCAACTATGAACAGCAGTGTACAGGCTGAGTACCGAAGTATAGACAGATCCATTCACAGGAGATCCTCAGGAAGTCTGTGTGCACAGCAAGTCAGTCTAAATTTAACATTTTACACTCAAATAAATACATTTCCTGGATTTGTATGCAATGCAAGAAAAAAAAAATCCCACTTTTACTTTGGAGAAACAAAATAATGGATTTCAGTTAAGAGCAAACAAATATCCTGAATGCTGCAGTACATTCTCAGATGGTGTTTGATGGGCGAAACAAGCGATTCTGCAGACAGTGTAAAGGCAGTGGAGCGATGTGAAAATTAAGACCTGGATGTAAAGCAAATAAAACAGTTCAGTCAGTTCTACGAGGTTAGAAGTTATCGTCAGTACGTATTACAAAACATAAATCAGTTATAAGCAAACTTGTCGAATAATTCAAAGTGCAACGACAACAACCAATCAAACTTAAGGCCAAAACACTTTTTTTAAATAATCTAATATTCTCCTACGAGGTTAAGTCATAACTGAATCACAACTAGAACATTGTTCACTTTCATATTATTAAAATTCAGGGACAAGCCTTCACATAGCCAATCAACAAAATGCACTTTAAGTTAATAAATTCTCCTTAGATGTAATTTGTCAGGTTTGTTAGTAATTAGTAACTCTTCCAGTTAATCAAAACATATAAAACCAGATCAAATTTACAAAAAAAAATAATAATTAAAAAAAAAGCGTGAGAGCTAAATAATTTCAGAATTCTACACAAGTTTTACCCTTCTCCTTACAGCCTGGTATCATTGGTAAAGGCGACAATATATCACGAGTAAAGAATAATCGATCAGTGAATCACTGATTAAGCAGGTCATAGCGAGATAACAATGGGCTGACGTTGGAAACTTCCCAAAAAAAATCTTTGTCATGGCACAGCAGGTAGCTCGCACTTTGGAACAGTAATGCTTGGACATTGCACTTTATGAAGTCACCTGTTTTTGACACATCTTAAATAGGTTCACTTATGAGTTCTTTCTGAGGAGCAAAAACATGTGATTGCTTTAAAAAAAAAAAAGAACAAGACATGATTATCAGATGTGAAAATAAATAGCAAAAAAAAAGAAAAAGTAGAGCACAGCTAGAAGACACTTGCTGCTCGGTGCTGCACGCCGGTTACTTCGATTCTTTTGGAGACGAACTGAAAGAACGCACGATGATACACCAACAACACACAACACTGAAAGAAGTCCATTAATTCAGTACAAGTGGGTGCTATTGTTATACACGGTATCTTGTAACCTTGCATTCCTTGCTTTCTGACATCATGAAGTATGTCATGGAGCTATTGGTCATTGAGTTTAAGAGCCAATATGGATACAGAGTTGAATTCATAGCAACAGAACTAAAGAAGTCTGTGGCCGACCACTGTCGCCCTCCACGCTCCACCACTGGTGGAGACCCCGCTCCGCTTTGTCTTTAGGCAAGAGACTGGAATGCAGAAAGGGGAGAACGCACTGAAAGCAAAGGAAGGAAGGAGATGGGCTACTCTAAATATGTGTGTGTAAGCACTGAAAGATAACCAAATCCAAGGCATCATGAGAGGAACACATAAATATCCACTGACATTTATGAACAGAAAAGAGAAAATGCCAAACTTTATCTGCTAAACAGAATGCAGGAGGAGACAAAAGGGGAGGAAAAGGCCAAAGAAAGTTCAAAACGGTGATAAAGTAAGACAATAACAAAGCCAGGCTTTCCGTAGCCAGAGTACAAAGCAAGGATGAAGGTGGACAGAGCCATCCAAAAGGCATGCATGAACAACACACATCCATACTGTTCGGCTTGCCGTCCGTCACTCCACTCACGGCGTGCAGAGCAGCGCTGCTGCTGGTGCTGCTGCTGCAGACACAGTGAGGGTCGGGACTGACTGTGCTGTATGGTCAGGCCAGGCCAGCGGCGCACTGGACCAGGCGAACTAGACAAGAAGAGATTTCATGACAAGAAACCTGTGTCATGTTGTTTCCTGGCCAGGTAATGGGACAACCTGGGGAGAGCGGGGAGGTCTTGGGGGAGGAATGGGTCTCAGACGGGGGCAGAAAAAGAGGTGGGAGTATGGTAAATGTTCAGTGCCTTAAGGGCCCGTTACTCTGGGTTACGGAACCAGAGATTTCCATGAAGGCAGAGCGCATCACGTTGAAGGATTTGTCGGACAGGGATGAAACGTCGTCTGACGTCATTCCCTTTGTCTCGATCTTTGGAAGGATCTTCAATCTGATGGTCCCTGCAGAGGCACAAAACTTTACTGTTAGAAGTCTCATTGAACATCACGTCAGTCTCAGCATACAGATGTCAATTAGTCCTACACAAAGAAAAAGCACACAACTTGGTACGGAAATATGTGAAATCAAGGGTTGAGTTACCCGATTTGAACTGCTTTTCTTTCCGTAGGTAGAAGTTGCTGTAGGAGGAGAAAACGATGGGTATGATGGGTACCTGAAACATAAGAAGGGAAGCAATGAAGAGAGGAAAGCTGGCCAAAGAAAATATACAACACACTAGGCCTTAATATACGAAGCAAAAATATGAACGCAGCATTTTTAATAACTTCTATTCATTCTTTTGACATAGATAAACATGTATTTGTTGTTCCAACACTCAGCATCTCTACATCAGAATGGACGTTATGGAACAACCCAGTACAGGCTATGTTGGAAATGACCATCCCGATGCCTGTTTGGATGTCCGTCCAGAGCAACCCATGGATGTTTGTTGGGTAACATGTCTACAGAGTATGCAAGCCATAGTTGGACGGAAACTTTGTCAGCAGCTACTGCTGAAGGACATTGCATATTCTGGTGAGACCAGGACGCACACACATTGTCTTGTTAAATTGTCAAGTGACGGAGGCGAATAAACAGGTTTCATCTTGATGTTGCTGGGCATTGAGGTGCAGATGTATTCTTTGTCCAACGGGTCGTTCTCTGTACCATGTTGACATCTGGACAGCTTCCCCCTGTACGATGCCAAATACAACTTCTGCATAGTTGGAAATGAGATCCATCGGTGAAAAGCACCATCCTCCATCTCGCTAGTGTCCAACCAATGACAGTGGTTGCCCACTGCAGCTGATTATTATGATGTCATTCTGCCAAACCAGCTTCCCTCAGGTGATTCCTAACAGGTTGAACAGATATTCTCTGGCCGTGCGCACCAACAATTTCTTCGGCAGTCTCTGCAGCTGATCACAAGGAATTTCACTGATGGACGAGTTGGACGTGACAGTCTTGGGCTCGGCTTGTGACACGTGGTCTGGTCATGTGGCAGATTGTCTGTCTACCATGCTGTCTGAAACTATTTGGTAGACAACAAATGGAAGAGTTGTGGACATTCAGTGACTGGCCACAACCCTAACTGACATGCAGCATCCAGCCTGCCAACAGCCTGCTCTGGTCCGTCTCTTGTCATCTGTGGCATTGTGTCATTTGAATAAAACTGCATTTTAAGGTGGATGTTTGTATTCACTGCTCAAAGGGATGTCTGTGTGCTGGTCCCACTCTCTGATCATGGTCCCTTAAAGCCACTGCTGACTAGGCTGTGGATGAAGTCAAAGGTCATCTGCTCTTTTTGTGCACAATTGGCTAAAGCTGACCCTTTTAAACCGCAGCAAAGGAAATCACATGTTTAACTTTTTCTCTAAGTCAAACAGCCGACCATTTGCATGCTGCATTGATATTTTTGTTCATTCTAACACAAAGGAATCTGACATTTAAACTTGACTTTTCACCATTTTCTTAACAAGGCAAAAGATGAGAAACACAGACAAACATGCTTGACTAAACCAACCTCACATTCTGTCACATACACACGAACCCAGCATGACACGAGCAATCTCCATCTCCTCCACCACTGCTAATAGAGGCCGAGCTGCTCTCTCGAGGCCCCGAGTGGCCCTTCAGCAGGACTGGCTGAGCCAAACGTGTCTCCCCCTGGGGGCTGTCCTGCTTCTACTCAATCTGGCTGGCTGGGTACAAATGGAAAGGCTGCACTACAACTCAGCAGAAGCAACCACAGAGAGATAGAAATAGTCTCTGTTCACACAGAAATAGTCTCAAGTGTAAAGAAAAGCCAAAAGGGGAAAACTCAAACACAGATTGTGATCACCAGACTTCAAATGAAGTTATTCTGCCACCTCAGGCAGACACAAAAATACCAAACTGAGTACCTTTGCTAGCATCCAAACATTATTTGTGGAACTTATTAGCAAGCTCTGAACTGTAGAGCCCCTATAGAAAATGTTAATGTGTTTGCTGATGAGGAGCAGCAGGGTTTTATTTTTGTAGCCTCTTGGCCTTGCTGCATATCTGAACAAAACTGATATTAATCTTTTGCTGCAAGTTACAAAATAGGGACGCGCACACACACACACACACACACCCCTACACACACGCACACAAACACACAAAACAGTGTTGCCTGGGGTGAACTAAGCTGCGGTTTTTGGCCAGATTCCATTCGACAATGTTTTTTTAATTCATTCCACCTGTCTGACCCTGAGTGTGTGCTATGAAACATCAACTCCAGGAGAGAGACCTCCCACCTGCATGCATGCAGAGATAAAGCTCATAAGTGCACAAAGCTGAGCTCCGAGTTACTGTGCAGTCACTTTGCATCGGGAGCTGCATCTACCCTCCCTCTCGTAACTTGCTGTGATAAATAGAATAGATACCAAAGTCAGAGAAGCTTAAAATAAGTATGAAACGTGCAAACTAGTCTGCTGATTCGAAAGCATTTATTTAGATAGTGGTCATTATGAACGTCAACATAGCCAACATAGTTAAATCATGATTTAGCCTTGCGTCCACATAAGGCTGCTAGCTCCCCCATGTGTCTAGAAGCAGCACAATACGAAGCCCCTCACTCTTTTTGGAGATAAAGTTGGCAGAAGTTTCCTGGCATAGAGCCAGTATTATCACAGCCCCTCGCTGTCAGGGTCAAATGAATGAACAGGATGAATGTGTGCATTTCACTAATGCTGATTTAATTCTAATGTATGGATGGGATACAGCGTAGGACAGCTTACCCTCTATCCTACTGAGCATACAGAACAGGAAAAAAGAAGGTGAAATTTAAGGACATTAAAGAAAAAATACTCACTTGTGCCTGCACTGCCAGGTGGAAAGCACCTTTTTTGAAAGGCAGCAGGTCGCCTCTCTGGTTACGCGTTCCCTCTGGAAACACCCACAGACGAATCTGTGAAGGTCAAAGGACATCAGGTCAGAGGAGGAAAGTAAATCATCCCACAAAAACCCATAAAGTCGAACACAGAACCTTGAGATAAACATATGCAGGAACAAAAAAAGGAAAAAAAAGTGCAGCATAGTAAATTGAACTGAGCTTCTTCCGTCACCATGGATGGAGGTATGTCGAGTGTTGACAAAGAAACAGATTACCTGCTCATCCAACATGGTTTGGGCAGCGTCAGCCATGACACTCTTTGCATCGCTCGTCTTCTTGCGGTTGATGAAGACGATGCCCCCCAGCCAGCAGATGAGGCCCACTGTGCCAGCGTAGACCAACTCCTTCTTGGCAATCATAGTGCAACGGTCTGGTAAGATCTCCATCATACCTGAGAAACACAATTTCAAAGCATGTAAAACAGTCAGAACAACTGCATACATACAGCATATGTTTCTAACCAAACAAAACCTTACAAAATACAGATGATTTTAAACAAATGTCTCACTGTACACACAGATAATTAAAAATGTCTTGAATGAAAACAAATAGCAAGCAAAAATTTTCTCGGTACTAATAAAAAAAGACTTTAGATATTGAGAAACATTCCAACTTTATTATTAACTAAAAAAAGCCAAACAGCAAAAAGGATTTATTGGAGGCTGCATCAACTCAAAGGTAGGTACTCCTTCTATCCAGGTAGAGAAGGAATTATAGAAAGTCTTAGATAAATTTAATTAGATTTAATTTAAAACTTAATTATACCTTTTGATGTCATTGCTAATGGAAAAAAAAAACATTACAAAAATTAAAGGATCAATGATTAGCTGAGTGTGACACTATCAGTCACTGATTGCACAACAATTGTTTTGTTTTCATCGTTTGTCTTTTTAACTGTTGTGATCATTAGTCAGATTAATGAATTATCATTATTTGTTACAGACAGACAGACAGACAGAGAGACAGACAGAGACAAAAAGATGAATAAGAAGTGGTTTAGCAGCCGTTAGGGTGAATACCACCTGGACCCTGACTGGACGTTCTGCCCCTGCTACCTTGACCTCATTTTCTCTGACTATCCAATAAAAGGTGAAAACACCAAGTAAATTATCTTTAAAGGACGAAAGATAGTTCATTTAACCTTGACGGTATGAGACCTGGTTTAAGCTTCTGTCTAAATGTTCTGTTTTGTTCAGAACACCAATGAGCTGCTGCTGGCCCTGCCCCCTTCAGGAAGGAAACTCTCTCTGAGACTGTGATTGACAACACAGAGAAAACCAGCGGACCCCATAGCTGCTGACACTGGGAGACACTTCTAACTTTCTCCTAGTGTGATCATCTGGCATGGAAGTATTGGCAAATTCACAGCACACCTTGCTTTTAAACTCATGTGTTTTGTGAGTTTGTCAGATAACGTTGCAGTTATGACTACAGAGGGCTGAACTACGAAACAAGATGAGTGGGTTAACGAGGTATGTTGAGCTTAAAGCCAGAGTTTTCAGTGTCACTTTTTACCTACTAGATCTCCATGGTAACTGATGCTGTGGAGCTAGATCTCCATGGTAACTGACATTGTGAAGCTAACCTGGTCCGGAGCAGGTTATGTTCAGAGTTTCAGATTTAAATCGTCTGGAAAGAACGTCTCCCTTTAACCAGACCGTTTCCTGAGTTGTGCGTTACTAATATCACTGAATGAAGCTGTGTAGCTACAGTATCGCACACTGTATGCATCAAGTTGCCATGGGAACCAGACATGTATTTAGTTGGCGATGCAGAAGTCACATAAATATGTTTTTTTTTAATGTTTGGCTCTGATTTGCTGTCAAGTCCGTTTACTCTGCTGATACTGCCGCTGATAAAACACAGATTGGAACATGGATTATTCTACTGGGATTCATTACAGAGAATATTCAATCAATAACATTAATTTCACTTTGATTTGGCCAAAACTTAAAGTTATGTCCTGCATTATGAGACAGTGTCAGACCTAAACGCTCTTCAATACAAGATCATGTTTAAACATACTAAGTTTAACTTTAACGTGCAGCTGTTAGTTGGAAATAAGCGGCTATACCAGTAAAATATTATATATTTACATGTTAACAGTTTTCTACCAGCATGTCTGTCCTGCACCATTTACAGTAGCAGCGCTTTTTACTGTCATAAATGTTTATATTCCTCATTGTTCTCCATTATAGCAACATGTTGACTGAAGCAGCTGCACATCGTTTCATTCAGTGCAGAAGAAGAGTCACGTGACACATTAAACGCCTCCTTTTATGTGAACAGAGTCCGAAGCAGAACGTCTGAGTTGACAAAGAAGGTTGAACCACCTTCGCGATAACTGTAATCTCTGACTGGAGCTTCAGTGTTTGTCTAGCTGACTTACACAAAGAAGCCCGGCTACGTCAAACTTGCTTTGTACTTGACCTCTCTGGTTAGTTGGGTGTCAGGTAGCACATGGGTGAAGTTCTTACTGGCTTGTAACGCTGGGAGGCTTCCTCGTTGTTGGGGAACTTGAGGATTAGCAAAGGTAAACATCTTCATATTTTAACAGCTGGTACTTTACAACTTCAACTTTATAACAACCACAAAATACAATAAAAATGTATCATATTCACATGGGACCTTTAAAGAGGTCTTTAATATGTACAACACCGGCAACTACGTGGGGCGTTTAAGGATAACAGTCTGGGACGAGCTTTGGCCTTGCCATCTTATCTCTGTCTGGCTGTCTGAAAGCCTGGATTTCATCATGTATTAAGTCTGCTGATGTAATAGATGCAATGCTTGAACAGAAACGTTACTTTATTGATGGGAGTTATCTACGTGAACGTTATGAAATCCGACATGTTTTATTAACCTTCGCGCAGGTTCCTGGTGCAAAGTCAGTTAAATAAATGATGGGAAACAGCAGAGCAAGTCGATGTGTCTGTACCAGGTTGAGAAAAAACAGAGCAGACAACCAAAACGACATCAGAAAGAGTGATTGAATTGCTGCCCTATCTGTGGAGGTGAGGTGAGGACTGTAGTTCCTATTACATCAGCTCTAGAAGTGCAGCTATTAATGACAGGGTGTAGCAGTTGGCATGGCAACTTGGACGCCAAATAAGCCTCATGCTGAGTTTTCTCAATGCTAATTAGATGCCTATCTCTCTCCCTGCTGTCAGTATCCTGGCCTCGAGCCGGCCCTCATCACTCAGCAGCACTAAAAAAACACTCCATCCAGGTACTGATGGAGAGAAAACATAGTCCTGCTAATTTAGTGTCCTGAAGACTGAATTGAGGAATGAGGGAATGTTAACAAGGGTTCGAAATGACAGCACAAACAGAAGAATCAAAGCCTTTCTACAACAGCTTTTTTTAAAATCTCAGACTGGGTCCTGTGCGAACATTTTACTGGTATAATTAGTAATCAATGTGTTCGATGATCTTCGGTGCCAAATCAAGACTGCTAAATATAATATCGAAGTCATTTCTGTGGTTGCAAATTATTGTGCAGTCTGTCCAGCAATCTGCGTGTCAGCACAAAGCAGGAATGCAGTAATCTTACATTTGGCCCACTTCTAGTAAGACTGTTGCCTAACTGGCACTGGAATCCATCTTAACAACCAAAAAACAGGAGGGTTTGTTGTAAGAAAAAGCAGGAGTTTAAAGTTTGGATGTGACACACCTTGTGCTAAAGTGAAAATCTATTTCTATTGCGTTGTGTGTGTCTAACAAACTTGAAGGTGTAAAATGAAAGCTGTGACAATCATCAGACGCCTACTACTGCCACTCCTGAAGCCCCACAGAACTAAACACACCTCCAGCTTTTTAAACAGGTACGCTATTCAGAAGTGCCTCGCAGTCCGTCAGGTTTATTTACTTTCTGGAGTGGCTTCTGCAAACTCTAAAATGTCTCAGTCACAAGCAAAAGCACACTAAATGTACTGCTGCTGGCTGCAAGTGTGATGTGAAATGCGCTACCAGCATTTGAGGAGCTGAAAATCCAGTGGTTTTCTTTGTCATTGATGGAAATGTTGCCATATGAAAAGGAAGGTGTTTAGTGTTGGTCTATTGTGCGGCTAACATTACCATTACTATGATTGCACACACACCAGTTAATGTTGTTAAAATTGTAAAGCAAAGGAACAAGGAGGACTAGTGGAAACTTTAAGACAGATCTAAAACCAATAAATAAGGACTGAGGAGGCTGTGAATCCAGTGTTTGTTAAAGAGGAAAAAGTTAGAAGCAACATAAAGTCCAGGGGCGTCATTTATCATCAGTGGATACGAACATTCCTAGAGAACACAGCGCTCTCTCCTCTGACCCAACAGGAATAACTGTGATGGTTATCTTGTCCCATGCAATGTTTTCTTTTTCTTTTGCTGCTTATCCCAACATTTCACGCACCAAACAATAGCTTCTGGGTAGCTTCAACCTCGCTGACAAGTACCTCAATTTTGGTTTTCGAAAAGTTCCTCTTTGTCGCTCTCTTTGCCCTGATGATGAACGGTGAGGGGGAAAATCTTCACATGTTTCATAAAGAGGTGTGTTGTTACCATATATAGTTAATTGGAGGCGTCTCGAAAGTGCACAAGCATGGTGGTTAAGAACGAGTGGGATTTACCAACACTGATGACTTCTGATGTACGTATGACCCACATACGCATGTTTAACAAATATGGATTTTTTCGTACTTACACTCTAAATTTTATTCGTGCGACAGAATTTAGAACCTTTTCTACGCACTGATGATAAATGAGGCCCCTGGTTTAGAGCAGTGCTTAAAACCAGTGGTTATAGAGTCCATAACCGTCTTTGTATTCTTTTAAGCTTAAAAAATAAAAATAAAAATAAATAAATAAAATAATAATCATCTGGGAGAATGTCTTTCTTTTGCTGAAAAGGGGCACAATATGGGGTCTTTAAGTTCTTGATGGTGGTGCCAGTTCTGCCCTCAGCAGTCCTGACTGTCCGTTTGAGTTTGCCTTTGTATTGTTTAGTGGCTGATTCAAACCAGACTGTGACTGATGACCAGCGTACACAGGATCTGGCCACATCGTAGTCTGGCTCCGTCATGGCTGCCGCAGACAATCTTGCACACAAATACTGTGTTTGCATACCAGGAAATCCACAGTATAGTTGTCATTTACATATTTTTTTGCCGTCAGGCAAAGAAGGAGGCATGACATTTGATCACGGCAAATATGCACCATGTTGACAAACCTACAAGATGGATTAAATCCTTAGGTTATGATCAGGATGTTGTTAGACAAAACAAAGGTCAAAGACAAAAGCTGGAACGTGAGATCAACTAGATTAACAATTAACATGAGTGATGACGGAGAATAAATCAGCAGAAAGTTGCATCTCCTACTATAGCTGTCTTTAAACACACATTCATGCTTGTAGAAGACTGAACATATCACAGAAACAGGACTAAACAATATTATAAAGAGGCTGCTGAAGAACAGATTCTACTTCTGAAACTGAAACAGAGCTGAGAAAAGAGCTGGTTTGCAGCTGGGATGCAGTACAGCCGAGTGCTGTGCACATTTAGTGTAACAGACGTTAAACCTGAAGTTTAGTTTAGGAGCTTTGCCTCACCCAGTGTCAAGACAAATCAGCATCACGTGTAAGGGGGTTTTTCCTAATTAGCTGACTCCGTGAGAACGTAGTCTAAGTCAGAGCGGCGTACATGCCTCATCAACCTCCCAGTAAAACACACTCAGGTCAACAGCCAGTTGTTTGTAGTTGATAATGTGAGGGGATGGTTTCTCATGTCACTGTGTCAGTGAGCTCATCCAGGTCAGCAGTCACTGCATGCACAGCAGGCCAGCAGTTATAGCTTTGCCTCGTGGCTCATTTCTGACCACGGCTATTTGTCCAGCAGTGGTCCAGCGCACTCCCTCTTCTGGTCCAGCACTCCTTATTTAAATCATGCCGGAAGCTCTTTCCATTAAATCCTCCAGGATCATGACAAGTGAGTGCAGAGTGCTCCGTGTCGACTGCCAGGTCACTCATGTGTTGCTGTACCTGGCACAGACAGGCTTGAGATAGTTTGAGCAGAATAAAAATCAGCTGACATCTGAACTCCATTCATCTAAAAGCCAAATTTGCCTGTCCTTGTTTTGCCTAGTAACTCTAATATGCATACTGTCCTGGAACATTTTTACCTAGCAAGGTTTACATGAAGCACAAAGCAGCAGAGAGTGAATAATCCTTGTTAGTCCCATGGAGCAGTCGCAGCTTTTCCATTTTATTGGCCAGGGAGACAAGATTCACCACAGATATACTCGGGTGCAGATTCAGAAATCCCCACTGTGGGAGCTTAACGGTACAATTCTTCCATCTGTGACTCCTGCATCGACTGCTGCTGCTCCAACAAAAACGTCCAGAAGTGAATGTGCCATATCCTCAGGGTGAAGTGAACAGAATGTGCAACAATTCTTCCCTGCTAAATCCGATCGTATTTGAAGATAAAAAAAAAAAACAAAACAAAACAAAAGAACACTGAAGCAAAAACTAGCGCTGAGGCAAAGCTGCCAGAACCATCCTGCATTATTCTTCATCATAGACAGAATCTTTCAGTCTGTTCTGAAAAATAGATGAGGCACTACAAGAGGCCTTTCCCAACCTCTCTACATTGTTTCAGGCTCACATGTAATCTGAAATGACACTGACATTTAACTATGAATACTGGAAAATATCTAACATAAGTTTTAGTGATAACAGTCATTTATATGTGATTTTTTTTCCTCCAACTTCAGAGGTCATTTCAGGTGTTCACACACACACAAGTTTACCACTGTATGAAAAACACACTTTTTCTCTCTACACAGGTGCAAATGTCTGCCTCTGCCAACCTGTCATGTTGGTGTCACATCTGTCCAGGCTTGACTTTTGACCTTCTGGGGATAAAAATGTCCTCATATAGACAAAGCACAAACCATTAAGCTAAATGATGCAGGTTTGAATAAAAAGGTGCTGTTTCGATCCGAGGACATGTCATCAACAGTCCTGATCACACTGATCTGATCACAAAGCAAAAATGTCATAACTTCGTCAGATATTTGAGATGACATTTTGAGAAAATGTAGTTTGTGAAGTCTTAAATTCTGGCAAAAAATGTGTTTTGTGATGACACAGTGATCATCTTTAGACGAATTCCAGTCAGTTCATTCTGAAGTCCAACGTTTGAGCAAATTTTGGTGATGTTTCCTCCAGGTGTTGGAGCAGAGACAGGTGGACATACGTACAGACAACCTGAAAATCTAATTGTGTGGAAGCATAAAGAAAGATTTCAGCAAAATGAGAGGGGGGGAAGAGAAAAGGGGGAGTTGTGTCCCAAATCTGTTCTTTTGTAAGTGTAATCAAAAGGGCAAAAGTTAGGGTGTTTACCAGGTGTGTCAGAAAAGTTCCAGGACTGGTGTCACTAAAGATAAATTTCAAACCCAAACGACAAACTAGGAGTTTTCCCCTTCAGACCATCAACCAGCACGTCTACAAAGAGATCCTGCGGGGTTTGCTTCGTTCAGTGCTCCAGAAGAGGCGAGAGTTGTGGCAGGACAAGTCGTGGCTGCTTCACCATGACAACCCGCCTCCTCACAATGTCCTGAGCATCCCACAGTTCCTGGCTGAGAAGAACTTCGCCGTGCTGGAGCAACCTCCCTACTCACCCCACCTGGCTCTGTGGGATTGTTTCCTCTTCCCCAAGCTCAAGGGGGTCATCAAGGGGACCCGTTTTGAAGACGTGGACAACATCAAGATGGCTATGATGATGGAGCTGCAGAGGATCCCAGAAGAATCCTTCCAGGAGTGCATGGCGGCGTGGCACAGAAGGCTGGGAAAGTGTGTTGGACTCCAGGGGGATTACGTCAAAGGGGAAAATTTCTAGTTTGTAGTTTGGATTTAAAATATGTCTTTTGTGACACCAGTCCTGGAACTTTTCTGACACACCTCGTATGCCCCGAGGAGTGCATCCAGTGAAATAGTGTTATCAATGTTACAGTTTTTCCTTGTAACAAAAGCACTGCAATACCCACCCAAAACATCCAGAGAGCTCTGGTGGTTGGAGATGATGACGTAGGGACCCTGTGTCTGCAGATGCTCCCAACCGGTCACTTCAAACCGAAGACCCAGGAAGTACTTGACATGACGAACCAGGGAACGGATGATCCTGAGGGGATAGGACAGAGCTGAGTAAGTTTAGGTTACTGTTCACATGTGAAGGCAGCAGGCTAAGTATGATTAACCAGAACTCTACTTCGGACAGGTTGGTGTTAATAGTGGAACGCACAAGGCCTGTTCAGCGCTAAGGTGTCACAGGACATTGCAAGCTTGCCAGCTGAGATATTTCTAATTCAACCTTAATGAGACAATATAATCTGGTAGATTAATCATGTTCAGCCTCCCTATTAGCTTCGGTTGTTTCCTGCATGGTTAAATAATTGCCTGTAGTAAACATTACGCTCCAATAAGCTTTGAGAAGCAATGTCCTACCATCTGCCTCTCTGCATCTGACACTTAAGTTATCACACATATTTTAGAGCACTGCTAATTCATACAGTTAATTACTCGTAAAATAAAACTTATATCATTATGTTTGATAATGTAGCCCTTAAGGAGGACAGGCAGTATCAGCGAAATGTAAACTCATGATTTTGTTCCTTGTTTTTGATATTTAGCTTCACTATCCCCTTTTTAACCATTTCACTTGCTAAGTAACGACCACATCAATCTCCTGGACACACCTCAGCTGCTTTGACAGATTTTTGGCCCCTATGGGTCAATAAAACTTTGAAAACAAGCTGACAAATTTACAGCTACTACCGTATCACCACCTCAATGTTGTCAGGACAAACAGCAGTCTATTTTTAAAACCCACAAACTTGACATTAGACATTAAGTGCTGTATTTCACGCCAGCTGGAAAAATGCAAGTTCAATATTTGCTCTCCTTTGTAGCTCTGATTTGCTCTCAGAAAGAATATCTGGGCCTTTAACTAGCAGATGTTAAACTCTTCACCAATTAGTCACTAGGCCTGTGTCTAGAGCTAGGCGGGAGCGTACAGTGTATTCATCAGAGCTTGTTTGCTGACAACAGCTGCTTACTGCTTGAGGATAAAAAGATGACAAAAACAGCTGTCTTCTGACCGAGCAGTAAATGTGCGTTGTAGAGCTGCACACTTGCACGCCAGTTCTCTGTGAGTGCCCTTTTTTCCATTCGAGTTAAAAACTCCTCAATCTGATAAACATCAAAACACATTTTTTTCCCCCGCACACAGATGTTTCTCCTTTACACTCTGTCAGATCAGAGTTTATCTTCTGGGACTTGTAAAGTTCAGCCCTCGTAGAGACAAAGCAGATAACAGCTGTGAGCTCTGTTCATATCTGAGTTGACCTATGACTTGGAAAACTTCAGTGGGATTCCAAACAACCAGTTCCAAGGTATGACCCATGTCACAGCACCATGATGCACATTCTCTCAGTCGGTGTAATCAAGGTTCAAGATCAAATGTTTTCACCTGTTAACACGTCACAACCCATTTCCTCGCTATCTTGTCTTTGGTCCCTAAAACACTTGCTGAGAAAAGGCTTGGGGAGTGTGTATACTATCATACCTTAATAACTCTTCCATTTTATGACGGTGTAAAGCATATGGCAGTACTTGTAAACAAACAAACAAAAGATACTGGTTAAGTTCCTGTTGTACATGTATCACAGTGTAGTAGCCCTGCCTAACATCAGATTACTCTGATAGGTGTTTCCCAAGACTCAATGCTTTCAACTTATTACTGAGTATACGTCTAAAAATAGCACAAAAAATCAACACATTTTGAACATGACTCAATCTACCTCCAAACAATTATTTTGTTGGCCAAGTTCCCTTTTGTGATAAATATATTTTATCTTTAGTTTTCCATTTACATCAATAAAAAGCACAATTTATTGCCATTCACCAAGAGGCTGCAGAATGCAAATGCAAGAACAGCTAACGCTATTATGGGCACGAATACATTACGTTTATGTGGGAGTTTTGTCTGAATAATTTAAGAAAAATAATTTGTACTTAAATCCTAAAGCTACAAGCATCCAAAGTGCACA